AGAGTTGTGATGGGTTTCGAAGAGTTCTTTCCAAATTTGAGAGCTGTGATGGGTTTCGAATACTTCTTTCCAAATTTGAATTCTAGAGCAATGGCAAGGATTATATTTAGATCAATTCAGAATTTTAATACCGGATAATGAAGACCAAAGATGCATAAGAAGCACCCAAGAAAAATTTTCTTAATTTTTTCGAATTTTCTTGTAATAAATTAATTTTTTCTTTGATTTGACTGTTGAAAAAATACTCCACGCACCCAACACTTTGTTAGCAAACACGCATATGCCACATAAAAAATGTGTGTTTACGTGAAATACTTAATAGCCTCTTGAAGTGTCTAAATGATAAATAAGTCAGTTAACGTGTTTGTTTGATCGTTAAGGATAACTTAAAGAGGTCGTTTATGTATTTCGCCTATTATTTGTCATGATTTTCTTATACATGCCCCTTAAGAAAAATTAATTAGAATAAGATTTTAACTACTTTATCCTTATTCATGTCTTAATATTTAGAGCCCGTTTGGATGTAAGAAATTTTTTCTTTTTGTCCAAAAGTTTTTTACTTTTTTCTGAAATCAGCGTTTGTTCATAAAATTTGCAATTTTCACTTGAAAATGCATTTTGAAAATTTTCGAAAATTTGAAAAATTCCAAAAAATTATTTTTCAAAATTTTCATTCAAATCACTCACAAAACTTAAAAAACAACCCAAAATTATATTCATGTGAAAACGCAACTCTAAATTTCAAATACCATTTTTACTTGAATTTTTTTCCCCTATATTTTGGAATTTTACAATTCATATGTCCAAACGCCCACTTAATCTTTCTTCATTAGTATTTGAACAAAACTAGGTGTTGTAGTCTTCAAGGATAATTATTACTAAGGGTAAAAAAATCAATTTTGTTTTGCACTTCTAAAGTGAAAAATAATTTGAGACAACTATTTTTAGTAACAACAACTAATGGTGAAATTCAAAAATAGCCAGATTTACAAGTGAAAATTGAAAAATAGCCACCGTTTCAAAAGTAATCGAAATTTAGCCACTTTTCATGTAAAGATAATATGAACGAAAATACTGTTCAAAATTCGGAAAATATTCCAGCATAATATACTGGAGTTCAAATTTTTTATATGTGAACTTCAAGCATAATATGCTAGAAGTTTATATACAGGTGCTCCAATCTCCAATTCCCCATTATATTCAAGGGCGGGGCTATGGTGTTATTTGCGGGTTCGGCCGAACCCAGTAGCTTTTGTTCAAACTCTGTATTTATATTAAAAATCCAATGAATATGTACATATTATTAATTTAGAACCCAGTAACTTGAAAGGATTATAATTCTGAACCCATAAGGCTCAAATCCTAGCTCCGCCTCTGATTATTATGTCGGAACTTTTTATGTTGCAGCAAAATAATGATTATTTTTTAATGACTTTTCAAACGCGAATTATTTTTGGATTAGCAATCCGAAAACTGGATAGGCCTAGATATTTTCACCGACTAATAATATGAAAAGTTACAAACATGCGAACATTTCCAATAAAAGCAAGTCTAATCAAAAGCCCAAAACCCATATATTATCGGTTTCAGAAACCTTCACAAAGTAGTCTCCGTAGCTTTTTGGGTTAAAGAAAAACTCTTTTTGTTCCCTAATCTCCTATAAACTCTAACTAATGGTCCACCCATTATTAATTAATTTGCTTAATAACACTCTATCATCAAGATATATTAACAAAACCACAAAACTGGAACGCACTAAACTGACTAAAATCAAGTCATAATCCCATTATCCGTGGGTCACTCTTGCTTTTTCCCACGATCTTCACTTCATCAGCAGAAACAACAATATTAACAACTACTCCCCTGTTTCTCTCTCTCTCTTTACACAACCCACGTTCTTTCCCCCATTAAACCCCATTACTCACTCCATCAAATTCTAACGCTAACATACCCTTTTTGTAACAGTAGTTTTGAGTTAAAAGTTTGGAAAAGAAAGAGACAGAGAGATGAGAGGAGGAGATATAGAAAGTAGGGGAGAAAAAGACAGGGGAAGGAATTATGCTTCCTCGTATGCAGTTGAAGATCACAGAGATACGACATGGATTTCTTGGTTGATCCCTTTTTTTGTGGTGGCTAACGTTGTTATGTTCGTTGTTGTCATGTATTTTAACAATTGCCCTAAGCATGATAATTCGGGCTGTGTTGCTAGGTTTCTTGGAAGGTTTTCTTTCCAGCCGTTAAGAGAAAATCCTCTCATTGGTCCTTCTTCTTCAACGTAAGCACCAATTTTGTTTTTTTTAATACATAAATTTATGTGTTCATGAGAGAATTTGAGACCTTTTTATTGGTTAAAGTTTGTGTCTTTAGTATAGGATTAAGCAGGTGGATATACAATTCCTAGCTGTATTTGGTCTGTTTAGAGGATTTTCTTTTCAGTTACTGTTTCTTGGGTTTTCAACCCTGGAGTTTTCACAATTGCACAAGGGTAGGCATCAATATGGTATATTTCTTGAATATTTGTGCAGTTTTTGTTTAACTTCCCATTACCTGGTTGAAATACCTGCTGTGTGGGACTTTTCTCGCTTTTAATTAGGCAATGTGAAATTTGTGTTTCTTTGCTGTTTGACGTGACTAGTGAGCAGTTTCCTTCTGTTTAACATTGGGCATGTCACATGCACCAGTTCCTCTAGATGGCCCATGAAATTTTAATTACATTTTCATGGACCAGGAAATTTATTTGTTATTTTTATCAACTTTTGTTTGATTGATTAAGTACTTCCATTTAGTTATTTCCACTTGTGACGACTTTGAGTTCAATCAGCCCAAAGATTGCACTGATATATTAAGTCAGCTATACATTTATCCTAAACTGGTCAGCTAATAGATACAGAGGATTGGAATCATCACAGACTCAGTGGCGGACGGAGGTTAAAAAAAAAGTTAAAAAATTAAAAGAGATTGTAGCTAGTGGGAATTGAACCAATTATCTCACCAAGGTTTTGAGCCCCTCACCATTAAGCTATGCTTTTGGGCTGCATCAAGGGAATTCAAAACATAATATATAGAGGTAAAAAGCAGATTTTGCTTTATATATATATTGTGGTCACAGTTTGACAATTTTTACACTGATTGTCAACCTACTCCTCTGCTTTCCAAATAGCGGAATCAGAGAGTTAACTTACATCCAGCAAACTGCAGACTATTAAGGATATACACTTCTTTTCTTATACAATTCTTGAAGAAAATTATCATGGGGTCCTTCCTCCAATTTGAGTGCACCTGGAGGGAGTTATCCCTACTCTTTATTTGCATGCCTCAAGTTGGTGCATGCAAAGACTTCTCCCTTATTGACTAGAGCAAATTTTGACAAGGCATCAGTGTTTCTAGCTATTTAAGGTTTTACTTTCTACATCTATGTTAATTCTGGTTTCTTGAGTTGGTGCTTTTGGAAGTGATTCTTTTTCTCCTTTTTGTTTAAGAAATTATCAGATATACAAGGTTTAAAGTGTTTCTACCCGAAATATAAATTGCTATTTTAGGATGGAGAAATGCCTTTGGTAAAATATATGTTTTGTTCTTGCTGAAGGTTACAGAGGCTGGGCGCTCTTGAGTGGAAGAAAGTGGTCCATCAGCATCAAGGATGGAGGCTTATCACATGTATTTGGTTACATGCTGGTGTTATTCATCTGATTGCAAATATGTTGAGTCTTGTAATTATTGGCATACGCCTTGAACAACAATGTGGCTTTGGTATGTTGTATGTCTCTTAGTTTTTGGATTTTCCCTCTCATTTTTTCGTTTTTATACCGAATTTCACGTACCTCTTGAAATGCAATTATATACTTAGTTAAAGCTGGTCTTTTCTATTGCAGTGTGCATTGGAATTATATACTTATTTTCAGGTGTTGGTGGGAGCATACTTTCTTCCTTGTTTATCCAGAGGAGCATCTCTGTTGGTGCGTCAGGGGCACTCTTTGGCCTACTTGGCGCTATGCTTTCGGAGCTTATCACGAACTGGTCAATATACACAAACAAGGTTTGTAATGCTACTCAATTGTTTCCAAAACAATGTTTTAGGAATCAATTTCTTAGTCTTTTTATATTTTCATTTCTAATAAAAGGTTCAGATAGTGTCGCTATTAGAAACTACAGGGTGGAATGATAACGTGGCGCCATTTCTACTTATCATCCTTTTGATATTTCCTATAGGTTTGTGCACTCTTAACGCTTTTGGTGATAGTTGTGATCAACCTAGCAGTTGGAATCTTGCCTCATGTGGATAATTTTGCTCACATTGGTGGATTCTTGACTGGATTTCTCCTTGGCTTTGTTCTGCTTCCACGCCCTCAACTAGGGTGGATGGAACGTCGGAATCGTCCAGCTGGTGTTCGTGTGAATTCCAAATACAAGGGTTACCAATACGTATTGGGCCTGCTTTCTTTGATGCTGCTGGTAGCAGGGTTAGTCTTGACATTCCACTTTGGCTCTACAAGTAGTATTATGAGTATATACAGTTACTATTTGTCATACCTTTTTTTTTCATCTGAAAGAAAACCGGATGCCCCTGATCAGATTATCTGTTTGTGCTTCAAAATGCAGGTTTATTGTCGGGCTGGTGATGCTGTTCCGAGGGGTTAATGGATATGATCATTGTCACTGGTGTCACTACCTTAGCTGTGTTCCCACCTCTAAATGGAAATGTGATGGAAATTAGAGATGATTGCAGAATTTGGCTTGAAAAGTTTTCCACTTTGGCCTGTAAAGCAGTCATTAGATCATTATTTCTTTTAGCATGTTTTCCTCTTTTTAGTTTTTAGCACTAGATATCTAGATTTAGTTCGTGTCATCATTTTACGGTTTCCCCCCTACTAAACAGACAGATTCTCATTAGATAATTCTTGTTGATAATTTTGCCTTGGATAAATTTAGATGGCTTTTGAAGCATATTTGCCTTCTTTTTGCCTTTACTTCTATATTTTCTTACTGCTGAGATGAAAAGAAGGAAATAAAGGGCTGCCCGATGCACGAAGCATTCCGCGTTCACGCAGGGTCTGGAAAAAGATTGTACCCCAAGGGTGTGTGATATAGGCAGCTTACCGTGAGACAAGCATTAGTGGCTTATTCCACGGCTCGAAGTGAAAAGAAGTAAATGAACAGAACAAAGAGAAGAAAAAATGAAGTACTAAGGCCTAGGACTAAATGTTTACTTACATATGGAACAACCCTTGAGAGTCCAGTGTTGAATGCATGTTAGACCTGACTACTGAGTCATGCAACCTGGATGAAATGGTCACACGCTGACCATTATACAACAATCACACTAATATTTATTTTGGACACCAGTAGAAGAGATTTTACCATGTCAGTTGGAAAAATTCACGAGGTAAAAGTGTAGAAATTGGAGGAAATGGCAAGAGAGAAATCTGTAATGTGTATGGTGATGGTTTTGGGGGTTGCCTTAATTATTCAGGGCACTGGTGCTGCTGAAGAATGTAGCACAGTGACAGCACTGGTAGCAGCATGCTCCAGCTTTGTGAACTATGGCACACCAGATCCGACTCCAGGTGCGCCATGCTGCGTTGCTATGACGACCCTAAGCAACATAGCTAGCTCCACCGAAATGCGCCAGGCCGTCTGTAGATGTGTTATGGACCTTATTACTACTTACAACCCAAATGCTACTGCCATTGCCACTTTGCCTGGTTTCTGTGGTGTTTCTCTTGGTTTCACCATTGACCCTAACACTGACTGTGAATAGTAAGACAACCATAAGTTACTTATCTCCTATTATTTCATAGTTATTTTGTTTGTTGGTTTAGCCATCCGATATTCAAGGTCCACTGACCCTATTAATCGGGATTTGCTCTGGTTAAAGAACTCGCTACCAAGAAGTTCTCTACTCTCAGGGCGATAACCCGGAAACTTTGTTTTAAGGGGTGGAGGTATTTAAGCATGGCCACCACACACCTTGGTGGTTAATATTTCATAGGTTTATCACAATGTCTGATCAATCTTTTCTTTTCTGTTTGCAGTGTCTCTTAACAAATTGGTCTCTGGAAAGTGATGCTGAAGAATGAATTACATATACCTTCACCCTAATTATCAAGGAGAGCAACCTTACTAGAGCAGTTTGTATTTTGTTTTTAATATGCTGAAAATGTTGTTCTTTCCTCTCTTTTTTCTTCCCTTCTTTCTATAGAGGAGATAGTAGCACGTAATGACACGCACATTGTTAAAGGACTCTACCTTTGTTTTCTTATTCTTGCTAACTAGAAATGAACTTTCACGAGCTAAGTAAAAGCACATAGCCTATCTTACTCCGCCTATTCTATTACAAGGGAAACTAAACAAAGATCAGTCTTCACTTTCTTTGCTGAGTAGAATGATGTGAATAACACGTAGACTGTTCAACATTGACTCACAGCAGGCTAGGCAATGCATGACAGACAAGAAATTCTACAACAACTAAAAAGTAGCAAAAGGAGAAAACATTACATGAAGCTGAAAAGCAAAAGAAAGGAAAATGACAAAAGTTAGTACTCTACTTACTCGGATAAAAAATTTGTCTTGTCTCGTAAACTACGGAGAAAGTAAAAAGGCCGCAACTCACTAGTTTAACTTTTTCGCTACTCCTTACTTGCCTCGATCAAAGTATCCATGGGTTCCAATTTGTTTGTTAGCACGTCACCGTCTTGGGTAAATCCACAAGAAAACATAAGAGAAAAGTAAGAAGTGCAGCTGTATATCCTCTAATAACTTCGGGATCAGCTTCATGTGGGGCTGCTGGGTTCCAAAGGAGTGCCATTTTTACCCAATACCCATTCACGAGCATGTGAAGATTAGTATTTTTGGCATTTTATTCTTCTTAGAACGTAGGGGAGTAGAAATATTTCACTTTTACTAATGATTGTGCAACCATTTGGGGTCAAAAGTCACCTAATAAAAGGCAGCTTAAAAGTAAAGAACTTTAGCGTAGACATGAGAGGTAATCCCTCCGTGAATGCATAGTTCATGTAAGCGAAAATGACTGCAAAACAAAAACTGAATGTTGACTATCCTACATTTCTTTTAATCAAAAGAAATGTAAACAATAAATCAAAAGATGAACAAAAGAATTCCAGTTCAAAAGTAATATATGTTCGACTAAAATGCATATGCCTCAGCAACAATATTCTTTTGTTGCTTCATATGCTTAAAAGTTGCTCTTGTCACATTGATAGTGTAAAATTAACATTTTTACAAGTCCCCAACTTTCAGGTGACGGTAAAATGGTACATTTTATCAAATGTTGTAACAAGCAACATTAACAAATTAACAGAAGACATACCTAGACAAGCATCAAACAAGATAATTAACTGCAAACCCGTTATTTTTCACTCTACAGACACAAGTCTTGCATCAACTTGGCAAGTACTTACCTCTGGTCACATTGAGACCAAGCCTGATTTTTACTAGTATTACAATTTGTACAGCATGACTAAATTGCTTCGCAATTGTCAAAGGAAGCATCTCTACTGTCTCAAGCCGAAGGGGGAGCTGAAACGGACAGCGCGTTGATGATCAGGTGTCCCTACTCTGTCTGAGCGACCTGATCCTGGTTTTGCTTTGCTCCTAAAGTTACCAAGTGATCTCCAACTCTTCTCTGAATTTGTATCTGCGTCCACAAGTCCATCAACTTGCTTTCTCGAACCAACTTTCTCAAACTGCAATCTTTGCCTGGGTGCGCTATGCGACCTAAGTTTCGCAAGGTATGATTCTGTATTAGACATATAGTTGGGGTGACCTGGGTACTCCCCGAACAAGCTTCGTGAGCACTCGCTCCTCGAAGGAGAAGGGCCTCTTCTACTGCTACTCCCTGGTCTGGACAATGTGGAGTGCACGCCAGGGCTGCGCTCAACAGTCCACGCCGCTGACTGCTCAGTTTCTTGACAAAATGCCAGTGACCTTAAAGATGAAACTTCCCCTGAAGATATACTAGGATTTGGTTTCATATGGTTTGCCAAATGCCTCGATATGGAGTTGACAGTTCTTGTTCCCTGTGCATTATTATCGTTCCAAGATGAAAAAAAATGTGAATTGTGAGAGCTTTTCTCACTTGGTTTGGGGTTTAGACGAGGTTTCCATGTGTCTATCTCAAGTATCTTGTCAGTGCTCTCATCTTGATCTCCAACACCTTTTTGCAGGGAAATGTCTCCGTAGCCATTTGTTGCACATTCCTCCATCCAGTGATGTATCCACTGGGAAGCCAAATGTGATCTATCCTGACCATAGCTCTCATGTGCATTCAATTTAGAACCAGATTTCTGCATATAATAACGAAAACAATTCAGGATGCATCAATGCATGCATGACTGAAATTTGCGGACATCTAACTGAAATGAGTTTTCATGTTGTGTTTAGTTCAGTTATAAGCACAGACATCCACTTCTATGGGTGTTAGAATGGCACATGCGAACGTACTCATCATAGCATTTCAGCGTAAATGGTTAGTACAAGGTCCCTTTTACTTCTAAGAGCTTCAGACATCTCTGGGAATGTATATGCCTCCGAGGTCTAACCATGTGTGAAGCTTAGAAAGGCAAAATAAAATATAAATCAGAATTACTGGAGACTGGTACCTTCAGGGTTGGCCCATGGTATTTGCAATTGAAAGAATACTGTTGTGGATCATATTTTCTCGGAGTTGCAATGCCCTGCAAATGATTTATGGTTTAGAAGATAAATTGATTACCATACAATACAATCAATGTACAAGTTCAAAATTAATCCATGTCAATAGTTGCTCTGAACAAAATATTTGAGGTAAAGTATTAATCTATGAATATTCCTGCATGCTACCATGTAAACTTCAAAATATCTTACCAATTGAAGGAGATTAACAAGATTAGTTTGTCAAAAGAAATATTCAAAATAACCTAGCTTTTACTGAGCTCATCTCTAAAAAATAATACTTACAGGATGCTCAAATCGTGAAGCTTTGATGCTGGAATAAGGAGGATCTAAAGTTATAGTCCGGTTAGCAGAAGCTCGAGCCTGGATTCGAGCCATGGCTTGCATACGTCGGAGCATATCTGCACTTTGTTTCCTCACAATACGACCTCTAACTAATGCCTGCAGTTTCACTAGTCCTTTCAGTGCCCTCAATGCCCTTCTAGCCTGCAACATGTCCCACAGAACATTAAAGGTTGATTCATCTTAGCCATCATGTGTGAATCTAAATTCTATGTCACCCAAGAGATATTGCAGTTTCATTTGATCCCATATCTCAGGTGAGTTGCTTGAGTCTAAAATTGATATGATACTTGAGCACTAGATACAAAAATAATTAGTTATAGTTGAATACAAAGCACTACGCCGATAAATGATGTGGAGCAAACAGAAAAACAGCAAAAAGGTTATCAATCTTTTTCTTAAACCATGTTGCATCTGTCCTATTAATTTCATCTAGTAGGTATCATCCAGTGAGAACATGCACCATTTAAAAAGAAATTCTCTTAAGACAGGTCCAAAGGCGGCTTTAAGTTAACTTTTATGTGTTTGATTAGCAGTAATGCGGCTGTATATTGTCAGCAGCAGCTGAAGCAGAACTCGTCGTCCTCCTCTAGGACTCTACATATATAACTGAAAATTTTCAAATATATAAAAATAATGTATATTAAACCTGCACCTATAGTCACAAAAGTGTAGTTGTGCAGTGGTACGCTGCACCATTGATCTAATTGTAGGATTTGACTAAATAGAAATCTCTCCAGAAACAAGATTATGGAAAGACTCATCATTATATTCCTCGTCAGATTCTAATATGTCCATGGACATCAGTAATCAGTAATTTTTTTAATTTTAACACTCACTGTCAGCCTAGTGCTGCCTCTTATTTTCTTCACGGGAGTGAAATAGGGTAGTTGGGAAGTCCTTTTCCTCAATCTTAACCACCTCATAACATACCTGAAGAAGACAAAAATACTATAGCAATTATCCGCTTCAGAAAGGGATAGCAAGATGAGTCACTTTTAGTCATTAGCTTAGCTAGTCCACTACTTCGGTTGACCAAGACATTACAAGAATCAATTCACTAGAGAAAAACAACTCAAAAGACAGATCTGAAAACTGTAATAAATAAGGTCCTATATGGTAGTACTACATAAGATGATTGGACTCAACAAAATTTCAAACCACAGTTTTCTCTAGAGTAATTACTAGTACTATCTTTTTCAATGAGCTGTACCTGCCACCCCATATTTTCAAAATATCGTTAACGTACAAAAACAACTAAAATAAGGCTATTTCTAGCATCACTAAGCATATCCTACTTCAGGAAGTGAACAAAACACGTTTTGCCTTTTCCTACACCATTCCTTTCCGTGTTTTATGTCCGTACCCCCTGTTAAAAAGAAGAAGCAAATTTCTGGACTTTTTTGAAACCCAAAAACGTTTAGCCAAAAAAAGAGAGTAGCAATTGAATAATGGAAGATTTAAAAGAAGAATGACAGTGACGTGACAGACAAGAAGGAGTGGATAATTTTGAAACCACACATGCTATCATTTCGTTACGATTGCGAGGTCACTATGCAACTTGTCAGTTGTCTTCGCTCCATTCTCGTTCCCAACCATCAAACCTTAATATCAACTAATTTTCCTAAATTCAGAATTTAACAATTATTTATTCCTAAGAAAAAATAAATATAAAAATTTAAGTGAAAACTACTAACCAGGTAAGCTCGAAATTCAGACTGAATTTTAACGGCAGCCCATTCACGGCGGCGTTCAATATTGCTACTACTGACGTAAGCCTTTGCGGACCTACTACCGCTTGTCAGCCTAACAACTTCCGCCGCCGCCTGAGCGGCCGCTAAAGCAGCCTCCGCAACCGCTGCAGTGGCTGCTGCCACCGCTATCGCGTGCTTGTTCGCGTCCAGTGCTTCCGCGTAGGGGCTCGCGGTTGGTTCTTCATTCCCATAATTAACAATCTCTGCTTCCGCACCTCCGACAATGCTTCTCCCACTACCATTGGATGATTTCCCGAGACCCCACTTCTTACTCTTGGTCTCTTTCGCCGCCGGCGATGATTCCGACGGCGGAGATTTCTTGGAGCCCAAAAGCGAACGTAACCATCTGCTGGCTTTACCCATGTATCAGTTCATTTTTCCGAATGATTTGCAAGAGAAACATAAATTACAAGAAGGGAATTGCACAATTTTGGTCGTG